GATAGATAGATAGATAGATAGATAGACAAATAGATAGACAGACAGATAGGTAGATAGATAAAAAGAGAGAGATAGATAGATAGATGGAGAGATTGATAGATAGAGATACCGAAAAAGATGGAGAGGAATAGAGAGACAAAGAAAAACATAAACACACACAGAGAGGTAGAGAAAACGAAACGGAGAGAGAGAGAGAGAGAGAGAGAGAGAAAGAGAGAGAGAGAGAGAAAGAGAGAGAGAGAGACAGAAAGAGAGACAGAGAGACAGAGAGAGGCCGGCAAGATAGATAGATAGATAGATAGATAAGAGAAAAGGGAGAGACAGACAGAAAGAGAGAGAGAGAGAGAGAGAGAAAGGGTGTTTGTTATTATATAGAATAATTGATTCAGGCTATCATTTTCTCTCTGAATCGGTTCCCAGGCTGACCCGGCGCAATACAGTCATTATTGTACACATTTTAAGACCAGTCCCATATCTTCCGACCCTTCTGTTTCCCATCTCTCACCTCTTGTTTCCCATCCTACCGTATCCAATTTTCCAACCCATATCCCGACTTTAATTAAGTAAGGGCTCTTCGTTTTCCTTCATCTCAAGGGATGGAACACTTGGAAGCTGGCCAAACTATTAAAAATAATCTATAACGTCACTGTCGTCACAGACTACAACCGACTGACTAAATCAGCAGTAGACTAGAAGGCTCCCCCTAAACGAAGCTTTAGTTAGTGCCGTTAATATAGCCTCAACAGCGCCTGCAAACTGCATTCAGGGCGCCATGAAAATAGCCTCCTGCAGACTACTTTCACAGCGCCGTGAACGTAGCCACTGCAAAGGTTTAAAACGCTTATTCTTTTCAAACTTTTTCTTCACAGATTATTTAGACTTTAGACATCTAGAATCTAGATTAGATCTAGACTCTAGATCTAGATCTAGACTAGATCTAGATCTAGATCTAGATAGATCTATATTATATAGATCTAGATCTAAGACAACAACGCCTGAAAAGACTTTGAAGTCCAAGAGAGAATTTCGTGGGTATTTTTTTACTTTCCCTCCCGTCTCACACTCAGCTACCAGTTGTCTATTTGCTACTAAATATTGATGCGCTGAACACAAATATCAACTTCATTTCCGTCGCAAATTAATAGTTTTTGAAATATTTGATTGTTTTTACCCGAGACAGACGTGCTTTGGACCAATCGGGGGATTCCAGGGGGGCCTGCCCCACTGGGGTAAAAGAAAATCTGGGGGGTTCCAGGGGGGCATGCCCCCCTGTTTTTACACCAATAATTTGATATTTTACAGTTAGATATAGATTTGAAATTGTCTTGAAAATAAATGATTTGCGACAGTTTTAGTGGCTTTATGTGTGATCTGCAGCAAACAGTACGGCAGTTTGACCCCTGAAACAGTGCATCTGTGTGCGGGAGTGAAAGTAAAAATTTACCATTTCGTGTACTATAGAATCTGTATCTAATATCTAGATATCTAGATCTAGATCTAGATATAGATCTAGATTCTAGATCTAGAAATCTAGATTAGCTAGAATCTACGGCACGGCTGTGACAAGACCATTTAAAACTGCAAAGGCAACTGTGACTGACTGTGACGTGAGGAGTGCGTATGATAACGATAACAATCATATGTCCCCATACAATGATTAAGTTATACAAACTGTTTTATTTATGAAAGAATCTGCAAAATAAAGACAAGAGTAAAGGAAATATTTTTTTAAAACTTACAAGCACACTGAATCAGTCCCCTATTCTTGCTCCCTGCAAACGAACTTGAAAATAAAAACAAAAATTATAGTTCTTGCCAAGTGAACAACTCAGACACTGACAGGTGGCAGTCTAACACAGTACAAAATGAGTGAAAATAGAACGAAACTGCTGACTGCTGAAACGTTTTTCGAGGGAAATAAATTCGAGCTCGATTTTCAGTTCGAATAGTCAATAGCTGAGTGGCCACTCGAGTGCTCGACTACGATAACCGAATTTACAATGTACATGATACCAGAGAGTATTTATTAAGGG